ACCCCATACGAATGGTTGGACACAGTAAAGGTTTAGAATATATTACAGCGAAAGCTGTTATGAGATCAGAACACGGGTGACACAATCTGATCCAAACCCGGGTCTGCTGCGTGCCAGCCCAGTATTCTACCACTGAGCCACGCCAGTGCTTGGAACTCATTTCTACACTGGCCTCAAGCAGGCTTGATGCCGGGAAAGGAATCATGTTAGTATGAGTAATAAAGCGTTTTAAAAAATCAAAGAATATGTGGGATTTAACGTCCCAAAACCACCATATGATTATGAGAGACGCCGTAGTGGAGGGCTCCAGAAATTTTTTACCACCTGGGGTTCTAAACGTGACCCCAATCTGAGCACACGGGCCTACAACATTTCCGCCTTCGTCGGAAATGCAGCCGCTGCAGCCTGGATTCGAAAAACATCGAAGGAACAGCCAGACGTCACACAATGCGAATTGCATAACGAGTAGGTTGTCCAATGCTCTAACCCATTAGAAAATGTCTTCTTTATCACCTATTGACTGAGGTACATACCCACTTAAGGCATATTTCATCGTCGTCAGCCACTGCATAAAACAATTGCACAAAATTCCTAACAAGTGTGTAGCGGATACCACTCGTTTCCAAGGAATGACAAATGATAGCATAGTGAATCCTGGGCTACTAGACAAAATTTATGATGATTTATGGCGTAGTGGGTATCCAGCAGTGTGCTTGGAGCACTTACCCAAAAAGTGTTTAGAAAAGGCTCTTAAAGACCGCTTTTCTAGCTTTTGCTGGGACTGTGCTGCGCATTCCACGCAGGCCTGGCATTTGTCCTAATTCCTTTCCAAAGCATGCCTAAATGCTCATTCTCCCAATCGAAGCTCATCGCTAACGTGTCCGACGTTGTAGTGATGTCACACCATATCTGTAGCAAGCATAGGCATATGCAGGGTTCTCCATCAGGAGAGATGATGGTTCATTGCAGCATGCCTCCTCCCTATTATGTCAAAGTATGAGGCTCACTTTGCATCCCCCCTCCCCAAGTCGCAGTGCCCCCTCCCTATTATGTCAATGTGGGGTTGGCTTTGTCCCCCCCCTCCATCAGGCGAATGGGGGAGTGGTCCTTTTGAGTAACTTTGCAGGTTTTAGAAATTTTTCGAGCATGCTTCATTTTACATCCGGGTCAAGCACCTGCCAACCTGAGTTAAAAAGGACTTTGCATATTTCAACTTAGTAAGGAGCAACTGGAGAGTGTTCTGTGCTGGCTCTGCAGACTTGTTCGCTCATTGCATTCCCAGCACCACTTGGCATCTCTTCCCTCGAATTGTTTCCTTCTACTTTGGACAATGTCTTCATTTACAACAAATGGCACCCCACCTCACCCCCCCCCCCTTTTTGTTTTTGCAGAATAAGGCTTTTAATGCTTAGGTATTAATAACACGCATTATACTTATCCACTTTTTAGACAGTTTCATATGTCTTGGTTGAAACACGCTGCATATAAACAACATAATAAACATAAGCATACACACAATATGAGTGACCAACTTCCCTACTAACCTAGGGTTGCCAAAAAAGATGACTGCATACATCTTGCCAGTCATCATCACCACTGCATGACAAAGGCCTCTCCCATGATCTGCCAATTAACTCGGTCTAGTGCTTTACATTGCCACATTATACCCGCAAACTTTTTAATCTCATCGGCCCACCTAACTTTATGTCTTCCTTTCGTGCATTTACCTTTTCTGAAAATCCAGTCGGTTACCCTTAATGACCAGCAGCTATCCTGTCTACATGCTACGTGTCCGGCCCATGTCTATTTCTTTTTCTTAATTTTAACTATGATATCCTTAAACCCGGTCTGTTCCCTGGTCAGCTCTGCTCTCTTGTCTCTTATTACACTTATCATTTTCTTTCTATCACTCACTGCGTCGTCCTCAATTTAAGCTGAACCCTCCTTGTAAGCCTCAAGGTTTCTGCTCCATAGGTAAGTACTGATGAGATGCAGCTGTTATATACCTTCTTCTTGAGGGTTAGTGGCAGATTACCATTCGTGATTTGAAAATGCTTGCCAAATGCGACCCATCCTATCCTTATTTTTCTAGTTATTTTACTCCCATGGTTCGGGTGCCCATTTACTACCTGTCCTAAGAAGGCATATTTTTTTACAACTTCCAACGTCTCTCCGCCTATCGCAAGGTGCTGTTTTCTGCCAAGGCTATTGCACATTACTTTATTTTTGAGCATGTTAACTTTCAGACTTACTTTTCTGACTTTCTGTGCCCAGTTCAGTAATCATAAGCTGTAATTCGACCCCTGAGTTGCTCATCAAGGCAATGTCATCAGCGAATCGCAGGTTAATAAGGTACTCTCCATTAACTCTTATCTCTAACTCTTCCCAATCTAGGGTCCTCAAAACCTCCTCCTGTAAACACGCAGTGAATACCATTAAGGAGATCATGTCTCCCTGCCTTACACCCTTCGTTATTAGAATTCTGTCGCTTTATTTATGGAGAACTATGGAGGCCGTAAATCCTCTATAGATATCTTCCAGTATGTTTATGTAGGGTTCTTCGATGTCCTGATTTCATAGTGCCTGCATTACTGGTGATGTCTCGACTGAGTGTCCGATGTCGACTGAGTGTTTCCTGATGTCTTGCCGTGGGTGAAGGCGCCCCTAGCGGTTGCTCCTGTCTCTATATCAAACTTTCACTGAAGCTTCATGACCAGTAGAGGTATTGTGAAACTCTGGTAATATTGTACCATCATGGTTGACATGTCACTTTTTAAGCCTGCAATACCTGTGCTAGCCACTATAATCACCTTAACATGTTTCTATTCGCATTGAGCACCTCGTGCAGTTAAAATGCCAGTCAAATCTTGGTTCAACTGTGAAAATTGTAAGGGTTAACAAACTTCACGCAGTCAGTTTCAGCATCAGGGGCTAGATTGCTTCCCATTAGAATTACAGAAATAACCAGTACTTCAATCCCATTTTATTTTAAATATGAGTAACAGTGGAATAACATAACTGCTTGTACTCAGCATTGTCAACTTCACAAGTCTGTTCTGTGTTAGCTTTTAATTATAATTTACACTTTTTTTAGCAGTTGGAATTCCCTTTTCACCTTAAAATGAAACGAAGAGTTATTAGGACTTTAGAAAATATAGATGATGCTAAAGCATCCAGAGCTCCAATATACAAGGTATTTCATCAGTGATTATCTCAAGTTGTGAAATATTAAAGATTTCACTTTTTTTTTCACAAAAACATCTTTATCAACTATGTCAGCTTTCACAGTGTTATTTCAGAATCAAAATGATGTGGCAATCAAAATATGGTACCTAAAAGCAATAACACCAGTGTTGGAGTGCTCATCTCCATAATCAGCTTTACATGCATTTGTTGTACCACAACAGCCATGAAAGGGCTCTCGGGAAGATAAGATTCATCTTTCCAAAGTTTTGGACACGGTAATTTACTAACTAGTGGTAGTATCAGAATACCTAATAATTAATAAGTGGAACACTGAAAGGTGTGAACAGATAGGCTTAAGTATACCTACTATGTGCAATTTATACACTCAATCAACAATTCTTTTCTCAATTTTTGTACAAACTTACATTTAGCCACAAAAACAATATATATATATATATATATATATAACATAAGAGCATAATATACATGCAACACATTGTCATCACCTAAAGAAGTTGCGTGCAGTTACACTATGAACAGATTCATTATGTTGTTTTTATAAAAGGGATCCAGAAAAATGTTTATACTAAATTATTAAGGGGGCAGACTGGCCTTTGGGACCAAAAAGTGACCAAAAAATTCATTTTTTAAAATTGACATATTTGCTTTCTACAAGTATTTTTATATCTCTGCAAATTTTTACACACCAGGAAGTGGTAATTTTTTTGTAATGCCATTTTAACTGTCCAGATTCCTGGTGCTGTTAACATGCATAACCTGCAAAAAAATGGGGAACCGACTTCAAGGCTTTTTTTATCATTTGTCGGCACCTGTCTTAAAAGATCTGCTACGAATTTATGAACACCTTTATGAGGATTGCAAAACCTGCACACCATGATTGTTGCTTTTTGAAGAAACTGTGTGTTTTCAGTTTTTTTCCATTTTTCTCAAGAAAATAAATTTACGACTGTTCAATTTTGAGGCCTCAATGTCTCTGCAGCTAGGACAGGTACAACAATAATTCTTTTTGAAATGGAAACCTGTATATGTGTAGAATGCAAGTATGAGATCAGAATTTAGAGCAGAAGCAATTTTATTTAATTACTCATTGAAATTGTAACACAATTTCAACTGCTTTTGAAAATGGATAGCTCACTTTGCTGTAAAATAACCAAGAAAGGCCTAAAAACAAAAACTCTTGCATACTTTCAATCTATGGTCATTATTCTATGTCGGCATATTTTAAATATCACTTTTAATTAAGCACTATTTTTTCTATGGTGGCCTTAAACAATAGGGAGTGAACCTAAGTTATCTAAGAAACAAGATGAGTTACAGGAAAACTAAATAAATATTTGAAATCAGCAGAAAAAAACTGCATAATCCTGTGCAGTTTGATGAAGATCAATGCAGAAATAAACAAAAAAATGTCTAAAACAAGTCTGCCCCCTTAATAACACGTGACACTGCACTGACATGAAAAAAGTGAAAAGAAAAAAAGAAACTGGCCTTAGTGCTGCCGCATGTACGCAGCAAGGCCTCTTACTGGCCATTTAATATTTGAATCACTAGCACACATTTTGCATGTATTTTGACAGTCACAAGCTGTGCATTCTATTATGGTGGCAACAACTGGTGGTCGCAGCGGGTTGGTTTGCTGGCCTATATTTCCACCACTTCTGCAGCCAAATTCCAAAATAAACTGTTAAATATACGATTCAAAATGACAGAATAGTAGAATAAAAGCTTTTTTTCATGTGTAGCTAAATCAACCATACATGTCCAGCTATGTATGAAGATACAGTGCAGCATACCCTGTTTTATACCATCCGGCAGGTCCTTTGACTTCTTTAGTTTTCTCTTCATCGTTGTAGTAACCAATGAAAACGTTATGGCCTCGAACCCACACCTCTCCAGGCTCATTGATGGCAGTTTCCTTGCCTGTAGCAGTATCTGCAACCTTTACCTGTGTTGTGATTGCAAGTTGATAGTTGAAGTGCAAGGCTTTGAAAATGAAAACTTACTGAACAAAAATCAGTTGTGCAATTACAAAGTAAAGCCATTTTGAGATTCAAATAATTACCAATTACAAAGCCTAAAACTGCTGACAGCTTTAACTCAGCAGTAATGAGACAACAACCGCACGGTATACAGTTAAGAAAAAAAAAGAAAGAAAAACTGCTTGCCTTAACTAAACCAGATGTCAAAATTTGAGTCTTTCTTGTGATGTGCTTGCTTCCTTCCTTCTACCTTGTGCACTCATATATTTCCACAAAATTTTAGATGTTACAGGCAATGTCCATGTAAGGCCAAAGAATGTCAAAATAAAGAGCCACACAAGTACTCATTGAAAGGTTCATAGTAACTGTGAAGAAGCTAATTGAAGGGTTTTAAGGACTTTCAACGCTCTAACGAAAATTTTGGGGGACTTGGAACAACATTGTTTGAGATTGTTTAAAAAAAACAAATACGGGGTTATTAAAGTAATTTGGAGGTCGTATCACACCTTCAATAAAATTTATCACACTTATACAAATACAGTTGAAACATTAGTTAACATTATCAACATGCCCAAATAACTTTGTTAAATTGGGAAGTTTGTAAAACTGAGAAGGGGATTTTCAGTGTTTCGAAACCTGAAATTGTAACAAAGAGACACCCAGAATCTACCAGGGCAAATGTATTTGCTGTGAACCAATGCATGTGAAGAAAAAGTCTGCAGCTTGCACTAGTAGCGCAAGACTGGAACCATCAGTGGAGCTAGTGTTTTCGACCTAGCTAAGTTTTGCTAGTGAAGTCAAGCTTTTGCTAGAGATGGTAAGTTTTTGCTAGGGGTGAACGAATATTCGAAAATTTCAAATACTCGGTGATTATTGCATTTTTAATATTTGTATTCAATTCGATAAACACATATTCGAAAATTTCAAATAATCAAGCAAACACGAATATTCCTCGAATATTCGATGTTTGCCAATATTCGTTCGTAGGCTTGTGCGATTATACAAATGCTTCGAATATTCAAATAAATAATAGGGTATATGAATACATTTTGGTTCGAATTTAAATTATTGAAGCAAGGAACGAATAGATGCATACTAATCCAAATGTACCATCTGTAAAGATGGTTTGACAGCAGTGTGAGAATGCTGAAGCGTGAGAACATCTACCGAGAAGAAATCTGCTTTGCGCAAAGCCCCCCTTCAAATTTACAGGGGCCCAGCAATTCTATTTGAGCATTGTCAGAAAACGCTGCTGATCAGCAGTCGAGGCTACCGAGGACACGCAAGTCAAATACTATTATAGCGCAGCACGCGGCGTGCTCAAAGTCAGCTAAAAATTGCTCTCTTCTCTCGGCAAATGACTCCACAAGCTCAGAAAGCACGTGTAACATATTTTCTTTTCCTGTGCCATCCCTCCCTGCTTAGCTTCCAGTACTTTCGTCAGGATGAGAAGAAAGAATGCACTTGCACTGTGCGAGAAATCTTTGCAACTCGCACGCACTGGACGGATTAGAACAATATTTGCGGCGGTGAATTCATGAGGCAATAAATAAGGTTGTTCAGTGAATGCATTCCATGGCTACTTGAAGAAATGTCATGCGGCCCCTTTAGTAGAAAATATTACTTTCAAATTAATTCATTTTATTTAGTTTAAAAGCTAGTTATGATGGCTTATATGCTCTAAGTATAATAAATCTTAAAATGTTACATATTTTAAGGGTTATGACTCGCATCCTGCTGAAAGTAAAATCCTGCTACTAAATGTTCTTTCGACTTCTTTTGAATGAAAAAAAAAGAGAATTTGCATGGAGGCTCTATTTCATTTTTTTAAAAATACTGTGCAGATTAGTAAGATCATGGTAAACATGCCCATTTTTTTTTATAAGTCATATATACTATTTGAATTCGATACGAAATTATTTGACCAAAGTCACTATTCGCTTGAAACCTAAAATTCATTATTTGCACAAGCCTATTCGCTCCCATATGTCACTGTAAACAACTTACGATTTTGTGCATTTGTCATAAGAACCTCAGTAGATCATGCAGTGATTACCATTTCTTCGGCGCAAGTGCGGTGATCATGCTTGCATAGAAATTCATGGGAGCGTGATCACGGCTACCAACGAATGCGACTGACCATGCCATGCGCAGCCGTACTCTTGTGCACAGAACCGCAAGTGCGTATCGCTCATGGAAACGAAGGCAACTCACCGCCACCTCATTGGCTCGACAAAATAGTCTTCCCACCTTTGTTTGGCACAAAGAAAAACATCTCTACGCAAGGGCAAATGCACGTGTTTACGTTACAGGGCGTGGCGCTGATGAAATGAGCTTAGTGGGCAATGAGCTGCATGCAATTACCTACGGGTGCGCTCAGTTCGACATACGACGGTAAAGTGTTTCATGTCTAGCCACGCCAGTTTTTGCCAATGAATCACTGTAGAAACGTACACACACATGTCAAAGCCTGACGCGTCGTCTGTCAGCTGTGCCGCTATGTCAGCATGTATGCCCTCTTCATAGTTGCAGAATGATTTTATCATAGCGGATATGGTCATGCGAATCAGCTGAAGTGTTTTCCCACGCAATGGCGAACATAAAAAAGGCCATGCACTTTCGATATGGCGTATTCACATATAGTTTTCCATTGCTAATGGTGACGCACATAAGGTGACGAACGGATTACTGTGTAATTCCGCTGTGTTCCCGAAAGTGCCTTTGAAAATTCGTCGTACACACATCGCGCTCACGCGGCAACGTCTCCTGCAATCAACCTTCTGTACACCGTTGCTACGATCTTGCTCTTTTGCCAACGTCAGTTTACTGCCGTCTGTAGCCAGTGCGTCGAAAGTGGTCACGATGTGGAAAAAGAGTGCCCTCGACACCGGGATTTGTGGCTCCGTCAATAAAAAGGTGTATTTGGGGCACCTCATTATCACACATCAGTAATTATCTACCTCGTGCTTTTACCTCACGTTATTGCTGCGCACCTGGTACACCTCGGTCAGGACCGTGCAGCTACCAGTGAAACACAGCATTCTTGATCGGAAAATAGTGAGCACAGTCCTCGAGAAAGGCAACAAAAGCAAGCGAGATAACAAGTATTGCTGTGTACTTGAAAAACGCCCCAAGTACTCCTCTTTCCCTTTGTGGCTTGACAGGTGAGAACACGGCGAAAACAATTGGAAAGAACACTATAAAATCGGGGTCTTTCAAGCCAAAACTGATAGTGTGGGAACCTGGATGAATTGTGACCATCTAGGCTGCTTTAGTAATCACTTAGATTTAAGTACACTAATGTTAACTCTTAACACAATCAAACCAGTGGCCTCATGCTCACTAGTCATCCTGGAAGGTATGAAAGCTTTTCTTTTTGTTTTGTCCTGCCTCATAAGAAGTCCTGCCACATAAGAAAAAAGATACAAAAGGTTTGTTCAACATGTGGATTGAACCCAAGACATCAGTCACAAGCTCAACTATTTGTCTTATGCTTTCTGGGAAGTACAGATGATGACATTTTTAAAAAAATTGCTGTGCATAATAACTGACTAAAATAACAATTGTACTGTTTCCAACCTAAATATATGATTGAGTAAAAGATTAATGGTGAAAAAAATTGCACCTTTTCCTTATTCCTCATTCGATTAATATTCGAAGCTATGTATTTGTATTCCATTCGTATTAGAAAATTTTGATATTTGCACACCCCTAGTTTTTGCTAGCAGTACTAATTGTGGCTAGACTTGGATAGACATGTCGCATGACTGCCTGTTATGTGTTGAAATTTTAGTGCAAAATAGATCTTACGTCATGTTACATGATGTTACATAATTTTTAGTTTCCTATGTGACTACTGTAAATTGCCAGGCAAGCACCCCCCCCCCCCCCTACAGTAAAGGATACTAATTCAACCATTTCTGGGAGGGGAGCACTTGCTCGGTTTCAGACTGAAATTCAAGATGGCAGCGGGAGAGTCACTCAGAAATTAAAAAATGCCTATCCAATTTTCTAATTAAATCCTTCATTTACATAAAATTCTATTAACAACACTGGATACGCATTCAGTGTACTCATTCTTGTGGTTCTTTTTACATAGGCAATGCTCGTCTTGAGAAAAAAGCAGCCGCGTGGAAGGAGGGGCACTTGCTTGGCCATTGACACTTATTTAAGATCTCCCAAAAAAAGGAGGGGGTGCTTGCTCCACATTTTACAGTAGTTATTATATGCTTTGTGGTTTTTAGTTGCTTGAATAGTTGCTATGCAATATTATGAGATGCCAGACTCTTAACTAGTTGTTATATGATGTTACATGATTCTTAGCCATGTAGCAAACTCACTTATCATAGTTCTTGTATTCCATGTCAATCAAATTCGCGCATGTGTTGTGGGAGCGACGAAGTCGAAAAAGATGAGCTTGCACTGGTTCATGATGATGATAATTAAATTGAGTTCAAACCACATAGCCCTACGAAAAGCCTAAAGAGCTCCGGTCTTAGAAGTCTCTTCAAGTGTCCCGAAAATTCAGCCCCACATCTGCGGTCCAGACAGTGCAGGTCAGGTAGAAAGTCATATAAAACTATGACATGCAGCTGAAATGTAAAAATGAAACGAATGTAGTGATGATGCGTGCAAGAAAGCTGCGATTGGTGTCATCTGTCGTATAAATCATAAAATAATGAAACCACACAGCATTTTCGTGGAAGTATTGACAGGAACAATAAACATCTGCCACCTGTAGCACTATCTAGTAAGTACTCATAATGCTACCGACTCTTAATCGAATGTTCCGTGCACGTGGGAAGTGCATGGGGGGGGGGGGGGGGGGGTGATAGATGGTTAAGCCTAATAATGTTAGTGCCTGAGCTAAAACAAAAAAAAAAAACCCATCCGTGTAGCAACTAGAAACATCTGCAACTTATTTTTCTAATCTATTTCAGAAAAAGCATGCTTCAAATAGGTTTTG